GCTACACTCGAGACATTCTAACGGCGTGCCAGTTCAAAAGCATTTGCATTATTGATATTTGAAGACGCCTACTCTTTTGTTCTTTTACTGTTTCCAGTTAAAAGTTTGCCATTTAGTTGCCTAAAATTCTCTGTATTTATATAAATAAAGAGGTGTCTTTCCTTGTTCGTTTCCCTTTTGTAAGCATCTTATTTTGAAAAGTTAAAACATATAGCTTAACTTGAAGTACATGAGATCATTTTGTATTATTGTGCAAAAGGTTTTGGAAAATGCAGGTATTCTGAAGCTGATGATGGTTTTAACATGTAAGCTTGTGTGGTTACGGGAAAATGAAATCTTGAAATTCATAAGAAAATCTCAGCCATGAGAAAAGACCTAAAGAGATTGTCATTAATTAAGAAGTTGGTTATGGGTACTGGTGGGTTTTCAGGAAAGAAAGAAGTCAAGGCCCTATTAAGCTGAGAAATATGGAATTGAGATTGTTAGCCGGGGTGAACTGGTCAAACGTTCTGTGCCCAAGATGAAGCCGAGTTTCATTGAGATCAAAAGGAGATAGAGTTCTTTCGAAGAAGAAAATACATTAAATTGCATAATTGCATACATTTTAGGCATGAATAGGATCATGACATTCATAATTGCATGATGACTTAAATATTTACAGGTTTCTCAGGGATAGTTGAAGATTGAAGATATTGAAGCATCGAGATGAACAAACTGGTTTTGAGATTTTGAAAAGAATGATGTTTATACGAAAACTGAGCCAAAGCAGATTCATGTATCCAATGGTTTCCAGACAAGTTTTCGCGATGGAGATGGATTTTCAGAAATTTTATCAAATTCTAAATTTTTGAGTATAATATTTTCAAACATACATTAATGATTGGTAATGTTTGATTTTCAGGTTGGACCTTTGAAACAATTCAAACTTAAGCCTTCACGGAAGAGTAGTGAAGCCAATCATCTATAAGCCTTCACGGAAGAGTAGTGAAGCAAACTCGTTTGTTGAAGATTGAGTCCTATACTCTCTGAAGGAATAGGGAGTGGACAAGTTCGTTGAAGATTGTTCGAGTTCTATACTCTCTGAATGAATAGAGAGCGGACCCGTTTCATGAAGATTGTTCGAGTTCTATACTCTCTGAAGGAATAGAGAGCGGACACGTTTGTTGAAGATTGTTCGAGTTCTATACTCTCTGAAGGAATAGAGAGCGGACCCATTTTATGAAGATTTCTTGAGTTCTATACTCTCTGAAGGAATAGGGAGCGGACACGTTTGTTAAAGATTGAGTCCTATACTTTCTGAAAGAATAGGGAGCGGACCTGTTTATTGAAGATTTCTGAGTTCTATACTCTCTGAAGGAATAGAGAGCGGACCCGTTTTTTTTTGGAAGATTGTTCAAGTCTTATACTCTCTGAATGAATAGAGAGCAGACACATTTTATGAAGATTGTTCGAGTCTTATACTTCCTGAAGGAATAGGGAGCAAGCTCGTCATTTGAAGATTTTTCAAGTCTTGTTTATCTTGACATAACATTCTCATGACCAGACAAATTCGATCATCTTTTGATCTTTGCCCTATTCTCGTTATACGATAATGAGAAAAGAGGGGCAGCTGTAGATGCTTAATTTGTCTAGGGCCTATATTATTTTCAAATGAAAGCAGTTCTGGGGAGTTAAAAACCAGAAAAAAAAACGTGGGGGGAGGACACAATCAGATAACAGAAAAAAGGAGACAAAGAAGGGACATAAGGGAATTAACCGAGTGGTCATGGGGAGTTAAAAACCAGAAAAAACATGGGGGAAAAAAACAGAAAGCATTGAAGAATAATTCCATTTTAAATTCTTTCTCAACACAAACCTCACGGATCAACAAAATAGAGTAAACTTAACAATCAAACAGAAACAAACAGTAAAAATCATCCTCAGTCATCGACATCACAATTGAAGAGGGAGGAATTCGATCGTTACTACCTGAGTTCGAGGCCTCTATTGCGTGAGATTTGTCGCCGGTTTCGTCTGGCTTTAAGGGAGCATCCAACCACCTAAAGGTAATACTTTTAATGTTCAGCTGAGGGTTTTGTTAGGTGTCAAGGGTTGTATCTTCGGGGCTAGGTTGGGATATAGGGCTAGATGGTGTCCTGTTGGCTATTTAGGTAAATCTTACACGGATTTAGACCCTCGTCGGAGCTTCTAGGTGGTGGTCGTTCGTTTTGGTTGAGGGCTAGAGAAGGAGAAGACATGGTGGCTTGGGTTTTTCGAGGTGGTCGCGTAGTTTGTTTTGAGTTGGGGTTTTCACTTGTATTTCTTTAGGAACCTTAGCATTTCGTTGGAGCGGCTATAGGGCGGAGGCCACGGTGGCCTTGTGTGGTCGCCGATTCAAAGAAGTAGAGGGCAAAGGAGAAGAGAGATATGCGGTTGATAGTGATGAAGTAAGCTAGGTTTAGTTTTCACATGAAATTACATACATATTAGCGAATTAAAATGGTGTCGTTTAAGGGATTTAGGGTTTCCTGTTTCTGCATGGTTTATTCTTAATATGGGCCATCTAGATTTTCAATTTCATGTAGTTTCGTCCTTAAATCGATGTTTTCATATTTCTAATTTTGTCTCTGTATTTTACTCGTATTTAATTTCAGTCCTAAATGGTAATGTATTTAGTTTCTGCTTGTTTATACATTTGCCTTGTACTTTTACGCACGTTATATTTTAGTCCTCAGGCTGTTTTCTTTTGGGTTTCTGTTCGTGTCCTCTAGGTTTATGTATTTCCTTTTTTCGTCCTAGATTAGGTTGTCTTTGATTCTATTTTGTTTTTACATTTAAGCTGTAATTTTGTGAATTTGTATTTTAGTCATGGAGCAAAGTTATTTTGGGTTGTGTATGAATTTTCGTATTTAACCTTTAGTTTTATTTCTTGTGTATTTTAGTCTTTTGAGCATGACTTGTTGCTGTTTTATAATTTCATTTTTTTATTACTCGTTTTTTATATATAGGTTCGTTCTGGCCTTAGATGTTCATAGTTTCCTCTTTTAATAGTAATGCCTATATTTTTTTTAAATAGTTGATTTTAGGCCATAATATTTTGCTTCATTTCATGTTAGTAACCTCTAATTTTTGTTATGTTTATTTCAGCCATTACATTGCTTTCTTTAGTTTGTATGTGATTTATCTTGGTTGTATTTTGGTGTGTTAAGCACAATTGTGGCATGTTATTAAATTAATTGGTCTAGGAAGTGTTTATGTAAGCATGTTTGATCATACACATATAGTTAGATGCCATTAATTTTTACATAACATACATTTTTTGCATAATTTGTATGATATCCTCATGTGCATAACTCGACATCATTACATAATTTAACTAAGGGTAATATCCTTTTAATTTAAAATTGTTGAAGTGGGCAGTCATAACTGATTTGAGGTCCGCTTTTAATGATTTTAAAATAAAAGTGTATCCCGAAAGTGAAACCAAAAAATTGATTTGTCACCTAAAATTTAGGAACAAGAGAAAAAGAAATGTTCGTTTATTTAAATATATCGAGAAAAGGTTGTTATATCTTTAAGATCTGGTCTCGATATTTATAAATAATCGAACATTCTTTATCTTTCTAAAACGACTCAGTAATTTTAATTTAATTTATTTGAGTGCTTTTTGAATGTTTTTAAATTTACATCCTTATTTTATGAGATCAAAAATTAAATTAAATTTGAATTTGTAAAGTTCATTGCAAAGACGTTAATTAATCGGCTAGGTACCGATTTAGGGCGTTGTGGGGGTGCTAATCCTTCCCCGCACGTAACCGACTCCCGAACTTGGATTTTGGTAACGCAGACCTTAATTTGTTGTTTTAATTAAAATTAATTTTTATTTAAAATAACAAACATTTTTGGGTGCCCAATCACACCCTAATCAAAGATTGGTGGTGACTCTTTGAACTGTATTTTTTTGATCATAAAGGAAATCCGATTTTTTTTCGAAACGAAAGGTTTTTTAAATTACATTTGTTTTTAAATTAAAAATCAATAGAAAGAGATAAATTAAAAATTAATGTGGTTTTTAAAATCTCACATTTTTCTCACTTTTTCACATTTAAGAAAAAAATCGTTTCGACAGTTTCCATATTATTTTCATCTTGTCTGCTATGAGTTCTTCTTGATTTATTTAATCTTTCTCTACTGACCCTTCTCCCACATAACTCTTCCTTTATCTTTCTTTGGTTTGCTTTTGCGGTGACCCCTCTTTCCACCCATCCTCTCACCGAGCTACGTAACATTGGTTTTAATCGCAAAAGCTCCAAAGCGTTGTGTCCGTCACTCGACGCCTAAAACCCATAGGTGCGCGCCTCACAACACTTAATATAAAAAGCCTCGCTCTAACCAAGGCGATCGTTCACTTCACCACCTTTTTGCGCCTCGCGCTTAAGACGTGCTTTAAAAAACCCAAATACTAATCATGTTCTATGTTAATAAAATCATTAGGCCAAACTTTACTGTATGTTTGAAAAAAAAATAAGTTTAAGGTTAGTTAAAACTAAAAACATATTGAATTTAGGGATGAAATTGAAAGTTTAAAAGTTTAGGGACCAATTTAGAATGAAGGCGATAGTTTGATGATAAAATTGGAATGTTTAAAAGTTTAAGAAGTTATTCAAAATGAGTATCATATTTTAAGGATGAAATTAAAATATTCAAAAGTTTAGGGACGAATTTAAAATGAGGATTGTGGTTTGGGGATATATGATGCAATTAACTCTTCAAATTAATAAAAAAATACAACACCTTTATAATAACACTTATTGCACTTAATAAATAATGTTAATTTTGTAATTTCCAAATTGAATTAACACTGATGACATCGAACTTTAAATATTTGGATAGGTATCAAAAGGATAACCAAGTTAAGAAATTAATTTATCCCTTAATTAGATACACGAGCTATTCTAAATAAACATTCAGAATTCAAAATTGAAGATATCCGAAGCTTAATGCTTATAAATAATCTGTTATTTTCACTGACAAAAGTATTAGAGATACAATCACATTGGTATTGTATAATCTGTTTGTTCAGTTCTGTAGGACAAAATAAAATTTAATCAAATTTCATTAAACCTAGTAATAATGCAATTACATATGATTCATTCTCTTCCATTATTCCCTCCAAAATCCGATTTCCGGTGAGTGATTAAAGCCGCATTACCTGAAATTTAACTTCAAGACGATACTGCCTCGATGGCACTGCCTAGTGGCCAAGCCGCTTCCACAAATGAATCGCGGTATTGGACTTTCTTTACCAGTGTGATATCTTGGTAGGGATCAAGGCCTGTCCAAGAAAAGATTATGTCGAACAATGAGAACCATAAGGATCTGCAATTATGAAATTGCATAACGAAAAACGATGAAGTATGGGCTTTACCTAATCCGTCAATGAGCAGGGTGTACTGATAAACTAGATCCATGCAAAAGTACGCCAAGTTACCCTCACCTACATCAGGGAATGTCGCTTTAGCGTCTGCGTACTTGGTTCCACAAGCACGTTTAGCAGCTTCTGCAAATGAATGAGGGTTGACTTTTGCAACTGGATCAGAAGCTTTAATAAAACCGGCCTGTATTCATGAACAATTCAATTAGAATGGCAAACCACTTTCATCCATAATTTATTTCAGGCAATATGATTCTTGATCAACGATACCTCAGCAGCCCTGTCAAAGAAAAACGAAGCAATAAACAGATTTTTCTGTCCATCTCCGCCTCCACCATTCCATACACCACCGAATGTGCACTTCATATGTGTACATGTATCATTTATTTTAAGAGCCTTGAGAGTCACCCTCCTGCATTCTTCCATGCTTGTGCCAGATGAAGGAGCTGATGCTTTATATTCGTTGCCTCCATATGCATAATTACCTTGTAAAGATAAAAAGGCCATATATGTTCATTAAACGGCACATATTCGGTCATCCACAAAACAAAGGATGCTACAACTACAAACTACTAAAACTACATTCACAGCATTTCAAAATTCAAGAATAGAAAGAGAAGTTACAGTTCAAAGTAGGAAGCTGGTTGAATAAATCTAACATACCATCAAAACCCTCCAAGATGCAAGGGTTGCCAGAATCATCAGATGCCTTCAGAATTTCTGCTCGAGCTGCCAATAGGCCGTAGCGCAAATAACTGCATGCAAAAAGTCCCAAAGTATATTAACTAAAAACTCATAATAATGTAGAATGGTTGGCATTAAACCACAAAGTTATACAAACGATTTTATAAAAACATCTGATAAAATTGGCTGCTGTTGCAATCAGTTATAAATCTATATTGTCCATTTAAATCATTAATAGAATCATAAAACCAATTTATCAAAATGAACGAGAGAAACCTGTGCACGTAAAGGTAATATTTTGATCCCTTCAGATACATTTCATTTACATAATTGTCCTCTCCAGCTGGTACACTTGGAGCCTTTGAAGCAGCATCCCGGGAGATGGCATAAGCCATTTGCACAGATCCACCACCAAGATCAATGATGCCAACTGTGTCTTTGTACGTCCCTCCCAACTTACCTAATAGGTAATTTATTGTCACCTGAAAAGGAAGATGGCAGTTAAGGAACTCCAAATTAGGTCACTGCCTAAACCAGCAGGATAGATCCAGATCTTTGACCTTATGTTGTTCAGTATAAATGCAGCAAAGTTTAGCTTCAGCGCAAAATGTAAATACTTGCTTCTACGGAAAAAGAACACAAAATATATCCATCCTTCTATATTACCCAAGCTTTAAGCGTATCGCCATTCATTACCACAGAAGTCCTGGGGATCTCCCCCTTTGAATTAACCATCATCATCAAATCATCTAGAGTAAGACTGAATGTGCAGACCAGCAATAGCATGCAAAAGTGTTTTCAAGGAAAAAAATCATAAGAACAATGAGAAACTTGAAGACGGTCAACCACAAAAACAAAGGAAGCCTGATCAAGCATGCAATAAAATGCATTCTACAGCAGGCTTGGCATGCTTTCCCTACAATCAATCTTGAGAAGGAAAATAACTTAAGGTCCATAATAAAAGCAAAATATAAGATGTGAATGAAATTCAACAAAACATACCCACTCATAAGAACCTTCTTGAGAGCCATCCAGAATTTTAACACCATTTGCCATGGACTTTAGAGTGCTTCTATCTTTCAGAAGATCCCTAACCTATACGAATATTTAAAACAAAATTAGCATGATGAAATGGAAACATGATGTGAACATAACCAACATGCATAAAAATGTAGAGTTACCGCTTGCAAAATTCTGTCAGCTGCATCGCCTTCTAATGCCCTCAGGCCTGCAGTTGCCTAAACAACATTTGAAGTCTCAGATTTCAAGCAATTTAAGAAACTTAGAATACAAAAATAAGCATAAACAAAGAAACTAAGTATACCAACCCCAACTCTGACAGGAGTTTTTGATCGCAACTCCAGAGGCACAACACTTTCTGCCTTGTCAAGAAGAGAAAGTAATGAATTTGCTGCAGCCTGTGGATCTTTCGCATAATAGCTCAAGCCAGGTTTTAGCTGCAATAAAACAAACCACATAAAATCAATTAACACATGGAATACAACCAAAGAAAGTCATGAAAACTTTAAAAATTCGAACTAATTGATGCTAGAAATTTCTCTTTTAGTCCAAATTCTAAGTGAAATTCTCTTTTAAACCATAAAAAGTCAAATCTTACTTTAAAATATGCCGGTGTATACATTTTCTTCTAAAAAGGCTATACGGTAAACATTGAACAAAAATTATTATTTTAAAGGTACATTTCTCACTGAAAGTCCAGATTTAAAAGCACGATTATATCCTGGAAGTCAAATTCATAGCAATCTAGTTTTAGATCCTAAAACTCAACAAAATTGGGGTAACAAATAACAGTAACCATAAGATAAAACCCACAAACATAATTAAAGCAAAGCAAAGTTACATTACATCAGCGCTTGGATTATCATTTCAAGGCTTTATATCCCTCTCAATATCCCAAATTTTAATCTTTCGTTTCTAAAATTAAACGTAAAACTAGAAAAATATAAAATCAAATCTCCACAAATTCAAGAAAAAAATTCATCTTAAAATATTAAGATAATGCCACCACAACAACCGAAAAGCGAAGAAAAGAAACAGAAACAAAAAATTATAATAATAAATTCCCATTTACAGCAATCCACCTTCTAAAAGAATTAGTTTTCGTTTCTTAAAAAATTAAAAAGAATTATTAAAGGCCAGAATTTTTTTTAAATGAAAGATTGGTAGTTTCAAAAAAAAGGCTGTAATTCTAATGAAATCTATTAATAAAGTACAACTATTAAACTAGGACTCGATTATCGTTTGGTGAACCTGCATTACAAGGAAATATATTTTTCTACTCTAAAATATATCATAAAATTGTAAGAACAGAATTTACCTGTTCAAAAAGCTCTAATTCAGATCCAATTGGAACAAGATCCAAATTATGATCAAAACAATAAACATGAACCCGACTCCCGGAACTTCCCGCATCAAAAATAACCGCATAATTCCTATTTCGTCTGGAACTCGCCCCAATTTTCCTGCTATTCAGCTCGATCTCCTCCAGCACGGTCAAATCCCCCGTAGATTTCCCGGGCATAACGTACAACACGAACAACACGAGCAAGATAGGTATGGAGATCACCAACAAAACGCCACGATATCTGTGGATCTTATCGGAGACGGAGTCGTGTCTGGCCATCGGACGCTTCATCTTTTCAAGGTGATCGGCGGTGCCGCTTCTGGTCGGGGATGTCGGGGCGCCGTTCTTAAAGGCCTCCTGCAAATCCGCAGAGGACGGTGTTCTGTACCGGATCTTTCCGTTCCCGGAGGAAGGCGGTAATGACTCCAGATCTTCCAGCTTTCTAGATTTGAGAATTTTCAAATTTATAGAAATTTGGAGCCTTAATTAAAATAAAATAAAACAATAAAGAAATAATGAATGAAATTAATAATTGATTTTGAAGGGATTGGGAGAGGAAGAGAAATGTATATTCATATTGGGAAAAAAAAATGGCTGTCCCTTTTTCCCATATGTATGGGGTAAGGGGGAGGTAAGATAGTAGGCTACCCCCAACACCAGGTTGAGAGCAGCTTCCGTTAGAGACCTCCGAATTATGAAATGTCCTCCGTGGGACTCGATCCCACGACCTCAAGGTTAAAGGAGAGTGTAAAGGGCGAAACGAGAAAGGGGAGGAAAGGGAAGGCGATGGTTTAGGGAGGGAGAAATTAAATGTGAAGGTGCAGGATTATTTGTTTCTTAAGCTTCGTCTAATTATGGATTTCATCCTCTATTTTACCAAAATAAATATTTTTATTTATAATTTCATCCTTCATTTTATCAAATTAATAAATTGTACCAAATCAAACTAAATTGGTATTATTATGATTTTCTAAATACGTAAAGTATTTACAAATAAAGGGTACAGTATACAAATCAATGTTCCCACTATAATATATTTTGACTATTAAAAGTTATAAAATAATCCCTAGATTATAAAGTGTTGTTTTGTAGAGTCTTCCGATTATTAAAAGTTATAAAATGATCGCTCAAGTATTTATATGTTATAAACTCGTCATTTCCTATTAAGAAATTGACATCAGTCTAAGCTGGAGTTGACCATGATATGATAAAATCTGATCTTAGAATCTCAAACGACTATACAACTCAAACAATTATAATTTTTTACAAAAAATGATGAGTTTGTAATATATGAATACTTGAGTGACCATTTTGTAACTTTTAATAGTGGAAGGACTCAATAAAATAACTCACTATAATCAAAGGACTATTTTACAATCTTTAATAATCGAGGATTTAAATAAAATTGTATCTTATAATCGGGGGATTATTTGTGTACTTTACCCTTAAATAAATTATTAATTTGTGTTGGGTCCATTTTTAATGTTTTTCTAATAATATTTAATAAAAAAAATATTTTGTATTTTTCAATTTGATTTGTTTTTAATAAGACATATAATCTATTATTGAACTTTAGACAATGAATTGTACACATTAGTGAACTTTCAATTACTATTTTAAAACTGAATTTTGATTTTGATTTAATTATAGTATCATGTCGTTAAAAGCATAACAAAATGATAATATAGACAAAATGATATTATTTTAGTATGGTTACTGATAATTAAAATAATATCGTTTTAGGTATTGAATTTTAGAGATATATCATTTTTATCATTAAACTTTTAAACGGTTCATTCCATACATTAAACTTTTTGGCTACAATGGTAGTGAATCATCGACCTTCACGGTCGTCATTCGCAATAAAATTAGTATTAAAATGTCGCATTCTATTCCTCTTACTTCTTCTAGAATTGTTTTTTTACAAAACCCACTCAAAATTAATAAAATTAAATAAAAGAAATATATCATTTTTTTTTGGAGTTGAAAGGCTTTCTCAGATTTAAGGAGTTTGTTCAAAAATTCAAATGGTGAAACATTATTTCGAGAAGACACCATTAGAAGATATCAAAGTATTTAGCATGTCAAACCTTTAGATGAATTTTCATTAATTTTGAGTAAAATTTACAAAAAAAAACTAATTCGATAAGATGAAAGAAGAGTAAATGTGAAAATTTTGATATGCTACTAATGGGGACTGGTGATGAACGACGTTTGATTGCCAGTGATGGTCGAGTGTCTAAAATCGAACCTTTTCAAAGTTTAGTGACAAAATCAACACACTCTTAAAGTTTATTATCTAAAATGACATCATTTTTTGCATCAATAGTAAGACTAAAACGAAGTTTTTTTGTCCATGTTACCTTAGTGGCAGAAAGATCTGTCCATTTCATAGTGCTATTAAAATTTAATGTTATAGTGCTATAATTGAAGAAAAAAAATCAAAGTTCAATATTATAACTGAAACAATTAAAAATTTATTGGGATAAACTATATAATAGATGTTTGGCATATGATATAATTTAGTCTTTTTTATATAATTTTGCTTTTATTATTTAGCTATTAATTTATAAAATGATTTTCTGATGTGGATACAATTTTTATATATTTGGCATGTGATGCATGCTTACTCTTTGCATGATATTTTTGTTGCCTGTTAAGTTTCAAAAAGAAATGATGATTGATAAAGAAGAAACCCCATTGAATATATTTACGGTTGAATTGAGCAAAGAAATGGAGAAAACTAATATTAAATCAATTCGTAATGTTTATAACAGTTTACGATTTATGATTTTAAAAAATATGATTATTTTAATAAGATTAGATTTTACTTTTATTTAATTTATAATTTTTAATACATTTAATATAGTTAGTGAAAACAATTTAAAATCATTAATTGTTTTCATTTGAAAAGTATTTTTAAAGATTCATTTATTAACAAAAATCTTAAACTATATATAAGATGTAACAAACCTCTGTACAGTTCTAACACAAAAGGTTGTAATTGAACTTTGTTGAATTACTTGCGAAACAATCTATCGCAGCTTCCTAATCGGCAGTGCATTTCCGAAGAGTTTCTCGACTTCACTCGCTTCCATTTTCAGCTCGTTCAACAGCTCCATCTCTTCTTCACTTAGCCCTTTCAAGAAGTTTTCTTCATCTCGTTGCAGCTCTTTAAAACCTTCAAACAAGCTCTGAAACAACGTCAGCTCGGTCTTCCCGGCCTTCTCCACCTCCTCTTCTATCTCTTCAACTTCTCGAATCAGTGTCTGTTCTCCTTCCTCTACTTTCTTTTCCAGTCTTTCAACGAGGGGAGGCTCCGGGCCACAAGTATTATCGGTTTTGATAAATTTGTTGAAGTTTCTGCCAACATTTTCAGCTGCCCTTTTGAGTTCAGGTACAATGGTTTCCGGCAAAACGGCACTTCTTGTGTACACAACAGCTCCACCATATCCATCCCATGCATCGTTTCTTCCCCGATAATATACGAATACATAATCATCCGGTTTGTTTTCTATTTTGGATGATATAATATACCTGCATACCATAATGAGAGGTTCAAAAACTATAAATTTTAAGCAAACATATGTGAAGTGCTTCCCTCAAGTGTGATTGAATACTTAATATTCAGCAAATATATGGGAGCGGATGTTACCAGTCATCTTGATAATGAAGGTACTCATTGTCATGATTGTAAAGAATCCCGGGGTAGTTCGGATCTTGCACGAATCGTTGTTCAGTCGATCGAGTGAAAAAACCACCATCCGGTGTTCCTATTCTCCAAGTAATATTGCCTACAAGTTTGTCACCTTCTGCATGAAATTCATGTAGTTGGCAGTCAAAAGTGTCAAAGGTAGGATTTAAACCCCTACTGATGAACCATTTCCCATTAAAATCTGCAATGTTGAAGTTTTCAACTAGAACAGCAGGATCGGGGGCAGGGAATTCGCCTAGATCGGATTTCTGGGGCACACATTTCTTGCGTGAGACGGCACATTCGTTAAATTCGTCTACAACGCTGTTCTCAAAGAGGTCCCCACATTTAATCTGCAGAAGTGCTGATATAAACAAGTCTATAAAAAGCATAATATGTAATCATTAGGCATAAACTCACCTATCAATAGACTAAATCATTTGCAAGAATCATATAGAACTTACCTGGCATTCGGTCTCGTCCGGTCTATCGTTGCAGGTCTGGAGGCAAGCAACATTTGCAGCACATGATGGGTTGGCGATGCACTTAGCAAGCTCTACCCTGACAAGAATAATATTGTGCACTGAATTAGATGACAAGGGAGACTTTACCTCCATAGACTTGGAACACAATCTAAAGTTAAAACTTAAAACAATAAGACACTGAGTATGAAAATTGAAGATGACTTTCGCTTAATTTGATCAAATACCTGCATTCCTTCAGCAAACAAGTGCATGTTTTTAGAGCATCGACAGCTGCAGCTGACGGAATCACCAAGTATGCACATGCAAGCAATCCAACCATTTTCACAATCTGTGACTGGCTCCATTGTTCCATGAAATTGGATAACGTAGGCACCGATAACGAAAATGTCTCTTCTTCCTTAAAGAAGAAGAAATGTAAATAGAAAGATATAAACACTAAATTGCCAAGGAATGTTGTTATTTAGTAAGAAACTCAGCATCTAGAAGCCAATACTACCATAGGTGTTCTTCCATTGCTTCTCCTTGAAGAGAAGTTCCTCTCTTTTCTTCTTGAAAGCTGATTTGAACATCTTGACTTCAACGAAGCACTCGTATTCGACTTCATTAACCGAGAGTACCTTGAGTTTCTGCAACTAGATTGAATTTTCAGTAGCACTATGCCATGGACAATAAGCCTCCGACGAAACCCTTCATTACGAGTAAATGCCGATGTTCGACATTGAAATTTAACACTTTTACCATGGGAAAAGCATATTAGACGTGCAGCTTGTGCCATATTTCAGTAAATCAACTTCACAAACAACCTGATTATCCAAAATAAAATCAACAAGCTCAATTTCTGATCTTTTTTGTAAGTATTACAGGAGAAATTCAAAAGTATGGAGTCAGATTCTTTCAGTAGAATCAACTTTCCCTATATTAGGAATCCTTTCTTTTAAGCAATTATTAAAAGCAATCATCTATTAGCATTTGTTCACCATAATCACATTACTCTCTCACCTCCATTACTAAAGAGGAATAACCAAAAGGCAACAACGGACCGAGAAATATTTTTGAGACTGAATATATATATGTTAATAAAAAAAAATGTATGGAGTAATTACAAATAAAATGAACAATTAACATAAATAAATTAAGATTTCTTGGCGGACACGTGTCCCGAACATCACTTGCATCCGCCATTGACCAAAAGAAGCAAAACATTGAAAGGAAAAGCATCCAATTACCTGGTCTACCATTTCTGACGGAAATTATCAGCCAAGAAATAAAACCCATTTTCCTACCAAACAGATTTCATGAATCATATCCATTTCCCACCCAGAAATTAAGAACATAACTTACCAACAAATTCCCAAGTTTCCCAGTTTAGAGAACATAACATATTGCATATTTCAATCCAAAAAGCCTACAACTTTCACTTGCTAGAAAATGTCGAAACTATAAGTAATGTACTTGAAGAACTTTCCATTTTTTAACTGTTATTAACAGCTATAAACACAACAAAAGGAGAAACAAATTAAAGAAAAGGTTATTTGTTTTGAAGAGAAAGGGTTAAGTAAACTGACCTCAGTTAAATGGAGAGGGAAAAAATGGTGGGTTCTTCTTCTTTGTTTAAATGTTTGCCATGGTTTTATTAAGGAGAGGATTGCAGGAAGACGAAGCCAGTGGATGCTAAGACTTGAGTGGGGGAAAAAAGGGCGGCAAGAAGCTAACGACAACGTGTGACAGTTGCAAGTTTGTCTAGTGAAATTAGGATAAAATAATGTGTGGAAACTAGACGTTTTACGTATCCATTCTGCTCTTTCTTTCTAATAATTGAATTTTATTTAGTTTATTTAAATTTTAAAAAAAATAGAAAAACCATGAAATAATTTTTTTAGTACGGTGATTATTTAGAAAATATAATGAATATTACATTAAGAATTAAAGTGGTTGACAGTTGTTATCAAGTGTGATAAGTTTAAGATAGTTATTGATGATTTTTTTTCAAGATTAAAATGATTTTTTTTTAAATTATAATGACTAAATTAAAATTTTCAAAAAATAATACATTCAAATAAAATGATAAATATAAATATATTAAATTATATTAGTTTTCTTTTATAATTAAGTTTAAGTTAGTGTGACTTTCTCAATTCAGGACTATGACATACTTAAGACTCAGTTGAGATTTACATAGGAATTTACAAATTGTTCATCTAGAGTGACGGTGGTAGGATTCGAACTTGACTTTATAAACTCAAATTCCTAAATCTCAACCCCTTAAATCAACACTCATTAATAATTATATTAGTGTTTGAAATATAAATTTAGCGATAACTATATTTAAATTATGAAGTGTCCTTGAGATTTAAGTGAGGTGAAAAAGTTACAGGACGCGAGTCAAGGAAGAAACCCATACAAACAGTGTCACCCAATGAGTATCGAGCAACATATCAGAACCAAAACTGCCATCCAAAGTCAAATTGTACTTGCTTTCATCCGAGAGGCCAACATTCGAGAGATCTAATTCATCAAGTAGTTGAACATTCATCAACTAAGACTATCACATCGCCGTAGTCGAACATAAACATTTGAGGAAGTAAATAACGAGTCTATTTTTATTACCTCATTGTTGATGTACCACTCCTATACAATGAATTTGTGGCAGAGGCGCTTCCAAGCCATGCTGTTGGTTGCTGGTTTGATTCGCAGTAGATATAAAATATTTTGAATATGTTTTAACTTTTCATTCATAAGGTGAGTGAAAATTTATTGAACTAAATAAATTAAAAATTAAAGAAAATTTTCTAATCAGGGTTTATACATGTCACTATTTGATTTGAGAATTAAATTTATTGAATTGATATTAGAGTAAAATTAGTTAAATGCATAATAAGTAACGAGGACTAAGTATGTAAATATATCAATTTATTTAATTGTCAGGTCATCTATTCCGTCAACTGTTAACGGCAGGTGATTTGATTGACAACGTTTAAACAACTATATGATCTGATTGAAAAAAGTAAAAGACCAATGGTAGAAGTAAAAGGACTAAATAGTTAAGAAGTTATTTATATAAATTACCCTAAATAATATAGTATTTAACATTGACGTAAAAGTTAAAAAAAATATTTATTTTTATCTTAAATATATATATATTTTTAAGGGTAAAGTATAGTAATGGTCACTGAACATTTTTGAATCTTGCATTTAGGTTCTTCAACTTTTAAAACTTGCAATACAGTCCCCAACATTTATTTCGTTTGTAATATGATCCCCAAACTTAAACCACCGTTAGAAAATTAGGGTAAATTATATAAACGGTCATTGAACTTTTCAAGCACTTGAATTTAGGTCCCCTAATTTTTAAAACTTGAGTGACTGAACTAGGATAGATAAGAAAGTTGAGTGATGATATGTGTAGTTTACCCAAAAAAATTAAAAGAATATTAACGGCACCGTATAACATTTGGGAAAAGATAAATGGGTTTTAAACTCAAATCAACGACAAGTTATGAAATTTTTTCCCAAAAAACACATATTAGGTTTATTTTGGGGTTTTTGGGGGTTAGGATTATTTTTAAGAGTATTGATTGTTGGTGGATTAAAAATGAGGGAGAAAAGGAGTCGATCGAAGGCTTGTTCAACTATGGTGAACGATAAGTTTTCCTTTTTGATGTATTTCAAAGTTTCTTTGATGTTTAGATTACAAATGCCGTATAATTTTTTTTTATTTTGAAAATTTATAGATTTAAGTTTAAATCTTGGTTAACATGAAATTTTTTAGTGAAAATATTTATGATGTTTTGATTGAGTTGTATTCGGTGATTTTTTTTTGATGTTTTACTTCTGCTCTTTTGTAAGTTCCCAAATCCATCATCTCTTCTTTGCTATCTAAATCTTAAAATTCTTTTCCTTTTATTTTTGGTTTTTATTGTGTGATTTTTTTATTCATTTTGTCTCTTCAAGAAATGAGGTATGCGTTGTTTTATTTTTCATTTTTGCGATATTCTTGAATATCTATTTCGTGGCAAACGCCAAGTTCCTCTTCTGTTAGCTTGTGTAGACACAAGAAAATACCTATGGTCATTTTTTTTATTTATATGATAATGAAAAGGGTTTTGCCTCCCATTTTCAAATTGCTAGGTTTTGTTATCGAACCTGCAATTACTTATTTTTCTGTTTGATTTCGTGTTAAATATTTAAATGTTCTGATATCGTTGTTTCTTGCACATTTTCCTTGTTGTTCTATTATTTTCATCAACGATTAAACAAAGCTGCTACAACGTTGTTGTTTCAGTAGTTTATGGGGTACTGAAAATGTTTGCATGTTCAAGCTTGTATTTGATTTATAATTTGATGTCGGAGAGTGAGTAAAACTTGATTAGAAAATTTTGATTTTTTAAAAGATTTTAAGTTATTTGACTTGAGTCTCTCGAGCTATTCGGATTTTTATCCGAATTTCGAGTTTAGGTTGATTTTGAAATTACGTATACTATTTACATTTATAAATTATACATACCCCTTCTTGACATTCACACGTAATTTAGTGTTGAGATTATGTATCCTTTTGTATTATAATTATATTTTGGGTATTATATGTTTTTATATAAAATTTGATTAAAAATATTTTATATTTACAAGTTATATTTTCAAATGAAATTTGAGTTAAAAATAATCTATATTATATAAATTTTTGAAAATTTATAGATTTAAGTTTAAATCTTGGTTAACATGAAAATTTTTAGTGAAAATATTTATGATGTTTTGATTGAGTTGTATTCGGTGAATTTTTTTGATGTTTTGATTGAGTTGTATTCAATAATTTTTCTGATTGAATGGTAGGGTATGTTTCTTTTCCTTTTACGTGTCTTAGTCCTATTATGCATACTGTTTTATTTTCTTTTTTAGTTTAACTTACGTTTTTTTTCATTTTACTTCTACTTGACAGAAACTGTTCACAATGAAATATCAGAATCTGAAGGTTCTGATTATTGGCCATCTAAGCATGAAAGGTCTGAATCTGACTTTGTGGATAGTGAAAATGATGTGTATGATACAGTTGAAGAAGATGGCGTAATATTTGTGACTAGTAGTGTACAAGAAAACCTAGGATTTATGCCTAATCAATCTGCACTAGTTTGTGTTTCTTCTGATAGTCATAATGGTGCAGAGTCATTGCGTAGTGCTTCTTCTTATGATAGCACTGATCATAGTAAAAAACAAAGATTTCATGAGTTTAATACTGAGAAAGATATGACATGCCCTAGTTTAAAGAAAAACCTCATATTTGCTACTAAAGAAATCTTAAGAGATGCAATTAGGCAGTATGGAAGGGTTGAAAGGTTTAGCATGTCATTTAAGAAGAATGATAACCGAAGAGTGCAGGCTGTGTGTAGTAAAGGGAGTTGTTCTTGGGTATTATGGGCATCTAAGTTGAACCCTAAGGATCCTAATGATGACACATGGTAGATTAAGACAATTAATGATGAACATAATTGTCAAAGAGGCATAAGAAATCAAAGGTTGATATCTGCCAAGTGGATTGCTGAAACGTTTTTTGCAAAATTTAAGACTGTCATCAAGTATTCAATTGTCTCACTGTAGCAAGATATTAGAGAAGCTTATGGAACTTATGTGTGTTTAGCAAAATGTTCTAGGGCTAGGAAATTGGTTGTAGAAAAGGTCTTAGGTTGTTTTACAGAACAATATAGCAAAATATATGAATACCTAGGAGAAGTGAGACACTCAAATCCTGATACAACCACAATATGCAAGTTAGACAACAGACACTTCGTTAGGTTGTACGTGTGTTTATAGGGTTACAAACTAGGGTTTAAGAATCACTGTAGACCCTTCATTTCTCTTGATGGATGTTTTCTGAATGGTTATTACCAGGGTTACATATTGACTGTTGTGGGAATTGATGCAAATGATTGCATTTATCCCATAGCAGTGGTAGCTGTGGAATCTGAAAATCGTGATAGTTAGCAATGGTTCCTGTAATTATTGGGAGAAGACTTGGACATAGTCAAATCTCATCATGTCACATTTATGTATGATAAACAAAAGGTAAAAGTTTATCATTTATTTGTTTTTTTTTATGAAGAAGCCATATTTTTTAGTATTCAAAACCAACTATAAAAAAGGTTTACATCATTGTTCCAACAAAATATGTTGCACAAGTCTCAGCTGAAACTGATTTCTAAAAGAAAACGAGGTTGATATGCCATACCTTACAATGCAAGCAGTGTTGTATGCATTTTCATATGATGAAAAAACTGGAAATCAGATTAACCCCAATTCCCCTTGTTGCCACTCATCCTTACGTTGCTCTTATCATTTATTTGCTACTTATTGATTGTACTTGTTGTTTATTTTCCATTTATTTGCTATTTATGGCTCTTGATATTTATTGGCTGTACTGGTTTTGAAATGTGGCAGGGACTTGTTGACTCAATTCTGGAATTGTATCCTAATGTTGAACACATAACTTGTGTTAGGCATTTACACTCAAATTTTAAGAATGTGGAGGGCTATAAAGGAAAAGCATTGAAAGATTCTTTGTGGAAAGCTTCAAGGGCAACTACTGTGAGGGATTTTGATAGAGCCATGTCAGAAATAAGAGGGACGTCAGAGGATGCTTGTAACTGGTTAAAGTCAAAAGATGCTGCCATGTGGTCTAAATCTCATTTTTCCATAAGGTCAAAATGTGACCTCTTATTAAATAACTTTTCAGAATGTTTCAATAAGGTATATATAATTTCAAAATTTATTTACTGTAAATTCAATGTTATTTTGATCTTACTAATGTCTTTTGACCCTTTTATATTACAAGATGATTATGGAGGCAAGGAATACGCACATCTTGACCATAATGGAGATTATTTGTACGAAGATGATGCATAGATTTTCTAAAAAGGGAGAAGATATTCAGAAGTCTTCTGGTTTACTTTGTCCTAAAATTCAAAAGAATGTGGACACATTAATTAGGCAAGCTGTTAGGTGTTGGCCATCACATGCTGGGGGTCTAAGATTTGAAGTTGCATTTGGTCCATCTGACCAACATGTTGTGGATCTAAAAGTTAGAGACTGTTCTTGTAGGAAATGGGGTCTTACAGGTATTACTTTATGCTTTTTAGACTTTAATTACTTGATGTTTATTTGATATTTTAGTTGTTGTTTATTTATTAACTTCGATTACAAAAGCTAAAACTAACGTTTGAGGCATCATAATCTGTGAACACACAACATAAATTCGTAATCCAATAAGTTTCCTGTCAACGTTTTAGCTTCTGGTTTTGCTTCATCTTTCATAGCAAGCGGGTTATTCAGTTTTTAAAGGGGAAAAAGGAAAGGGTAATTCCTTCTTCTTCTTTTCAACTTTCATTCAGATAAAACTCTCTGCTGTTTTTTACATCATAATATTATTCTCTCTTTATTGTCAAAATAGATAATTTCTATACTTTTCTCTTTTTTCTGGGTAATATATGAAATTTGATGCGGTTTGAATTATTCTTTTAGCTTGTTAAGAAACTGGAATTTGCATCTGTAAATTTAGCTATTGATCGTTCTGGATTAACCTTTTTTTCTTATGTTTTCTCTATAAAGTTGAAAATTATGTGACATTTATTAGTCGAAGCTGTTGATGCGTACGCTCATAAAGTTAATTTGTTCGAAGTAATTGATTATAAATATTGTTTTTAAAGAGTATCTATTGGAAGCTAGGTCTTCGGGAAAGTTATCGTAAGAGAATTATGTTATGATCCATCCGTACAGTTCATTTGTACTTTTTAAGATTTAGAATTATGGTATTGCCTTCTAGTTTGTGATAATCATTCTTTTATTGCATCGGGTACCATTGATTGCATCTGTAGAATGCATGCCGATATACTGCAATCCTGTGTTCCTCAGTTTTCTTGTACCATTTCCTTTAGATGGTTTTTTTACAATTTATGTCTTTTTATTGGTTGTTTTGATGGTATTTGATATTTATGTTAGGGTCATATTGTGTACATGATGTTTGATGGTGTTGTATATTTATGTTTCTCAACAGGGATCCCATGTGCACATGCTGTCTCAGTGATGCTATTGATTCAAGAGAGACCAGAGAACTATGTTGACAATTGCTACCATAGGTCGAATCAAATATTCTAACTTTATCTACCCTATCTGAAGAGTCAATCAGTGGGAACTAGTCCCATCAATGGAGCCAATACTTCCTCCAATTCAGAGGAGGCCACCTGGTAGGCCTGAAAAACAAAGGAAAAAGGCTGTTGACGAACATCAAAGTGGTCCTAGTAGGGGGCAAAAGACCCTAGAAATTAAGTGCAAGAAATGTGGTAAAACAGGCCACAACATAAGGACATATAGAGGTTAGGTCAGAGGTAATTCTAGGCTTAACACACCACTTCCTTCAACAACAACACATCCAAATCATCAATTGGTTCACCTCCACAGTTTCTATTATTTTCAACTGCTCCACCTTTCACTACTTCCAGAGTATCAAAATTATCATTCAGTATTTAATTCTCCACAATCTCTATTATTTCCTTTAACTAACAACTATCACATATTGGTATTTACAGTTTAGGAGGCCTTCTACAACAATTACCCAAGTCCCACTTCCCACCACCTCAGCAACAACCAAGTCTATATCAACATCTGATCAAAGGAAGAAGATTGAAAGGGTTGCAGGAGGACAAGTCCCACCACCTCAACAACAACCAACTCCATATCATGTTAGATGGATGTTGCAATCACCTTCTCCCTCTGAAAATATAGTGATGCAGGATTAAAAAGAATCAATTTCTAGTTTCAAACCAAAGAATGTTGATGGATGTTGACAAAAGCTTTAATATGTGTTGATAGATGTTAACTGCCATTTTTTGTGCTGATAGATGTTACCTGTCATATTTTGTGTCATTTTTTGTGTTGATGAATGTAAAGTGCCATCTTTAGTGTCATTTTTTGTATATGGCATAGTGACTTAGGCAATATGGTATGGTTGCCAAAACCATATACCACGATATATGGTCATTTTTTGTATATGCATAGTGGCTTAGTCAATATGGTATGGTTGTCAAACCATATACCATGATATATGGTAACATTTGAATGTAAATTGATGCAAATGATAATAGAAACAATATTACATTTTGTTATGAAATTTTTAGCTGCTCAAGTCCAAGCTCAGTAGCAATATTTAGTTGCTCAAATCTCTAAGTGTAAACATCTGTTAACTTCAAAGTTTTCTTAATATACTTTTTTTCTTTTGTGAAAAGGAAAATTCATGCTTTAATGATTCTTTACTTTCTTTCTTCGAGATGAAACCGAATGCTTGAAAAGATAGGGAAATATTTCTTAGGTTATTATGTATGTAATTTGTTTCTGTGTATATTTTCAAAATTTAGTCTTTTTTTTAATATGGGTTAAGGAACTGATCTGTGAACTAAACAAAAAGTTGAGCTTTAAGTATTAGCAGTTTCACTTGTATCTTTGCATTCTCTTTATTTTATTTTTCTTTCAGATGATCTTTGTATTTAGAGGTTTTTAGCTCCCCCAAAAAAAAAGCCTTAGACTTAATTTTCCCTTTTTTGAGAATATATATATATATATATATATATGTGTGTGTGTGTGTGGTTTTTGATTGATGAATTTCTATTTTGTAGGTGGTTTGGCCTTGAATCTGCAAGTATTGATATAGTTATAGTGCATAGTTTTGGTTTGCAATATATGCATGGAAACAAATTCAGGTTTTACAGTGATAGGAGCAGAAGCTCCATCAGCTTGTCATATGGCACCAAGGACTAAAAATGTCGACCAGATCGCTGGTGGAATAACGGCTGTCAATGTTCCGTTAGTTAGCGATGGGTTAACTGGCAGTACAGAGAAGAAGAAAAGAGGTAGGCCTAGGAAATATGGACCGGATGGGACAATGACAAGGGCATTGTCACCTATGCCTATTTCGTCCTCCATCCTGTCGGTTTCGGGTGAGTTCTCAAGTGGTGGAAAGCAGGGGAGAGGCCGAGGCAGTGGTTATCAGATTAAACATCATAAGGGAATGGACATGGAGAACTTAGGTAATGAAGGTCACCCTTTCGAAGAAAGTTTATTTCTTTTAGTTCAGGTTTTTGCAAGCTGTTTTAGGTTTCAAGTTTTTCCATGTTATAGATTTGCTAATGTTTCTGATTTCTGTTTCTTCATGGTATGCCTCAAACTAAGTACAATTTGTGATTTCGTGGGGATTTATTGAAAATGTCGTTGTTCGGATTTTGAAGAACAATGCTGGTTACGGGAATGATTGGTGTATATCACCAAATAATTTTTGTACTTTTAGCAGCAAAATTCCATGTTTACATATTGTTTTGTAGGTGACTTGGCTGGGACTTCTGTCGGAACAAATTTTACGCCACATATCATCACTTTCAATCCCGGTGAGGCATTTTCCAATACGGGAAAGAGATGGTTTTGTTAATTATATAAGCAAACAATCTTATGATTCATTCCTATCATCGTTATATGCTTCTTGAACTATGAGATTGATGTCAAGGAAGGTTTCTTTTTCACTTATCAATGAATCTAAATTATTTTCATCATCTTGATTTTCTTTGGTGTTTAAGGATGTAACAATGAAGGTTATGTCGTTTTCTCAACAAGGACCAAGAGCCATTTGCATCCTATCCGCTAACGGAGTACTTTCTTGCGTTACACTTCGTCAGCCGGATGCTTTCGGTGGTACGCTTACGTATGAGGTTAGGCAAATTAGAGATTACCATAACATTCCAAAATATGTCTAGTTTCTGATTAAAATTTATCGAATACTGAATGCAAAGGTTGTTATTATTGCAAAAACTGTAGTGTATCGATGTCGTGTTTTATTCCGACGACACGAACATGATACTGTCAAATAGTAAATTCATGTTCAAAATTCCAAAGCAATTCAATTTCATTCTAAACAAAAAATCCCAAAATAATTCAATTACATTCTAAACCTTAAATTGAAGTATTTTGGAATTTGGGGTTTAGAATGAAATTGAGAACTGTTTTGCAAGTTTTAAAAGTTGACGAACCTAAATTCAAGTGTCTGAAAAGTTCAATGACCATTTATATAATTTACCCTATTTTTCTAACGGTGGTTTAAGTTGGGGGACCATATTGCAAACAGAATAAATGTTGGGAGACTATATTGCAAGTTTTAAAAGTTGGGGGACCTAAATGCAAGCTTCAAAAATGTTCAGTGACCATTACAATACTTTACCCATCTTTTAATTTCCTTTCGTTTTCTCATAGTTAAACAATCGTTTTCGTTTAACGTATTGTATGGTTATCTTAAACACACACGAATTTGTTTTATTGCTGTTTATTATTTCATCGGTTTATATTTTTGTAACATCTCTTTAACCTCACGAATTTATATTCTAAAAATTTATTATTTTTAAGATTTTGCGATATTATTAGATTTGAGAGATTTAAATTATTTGTCAAAAAAATATGTATGATCGAATTAACCGTTTGAACACCATAACAATAGACAAATTTTCCAATGACACTTATGAAATATATATATTATATAAAAAAGTTGAAATAAATAAACATTAAGAGATCAAATAGATAATTATATAAAAAAGCTGAACTAAATAAATTGTCATTGGAAGACACCATATTATTATACGACCAAAAGCAAAGTACATAAGAAACTTGTTTATTTCTCAATATTTCAACAAGGAATACTGAGTTGAACGACAGAAACAAGTCCAACATTATCCAGAAAATAATTAGCCAGCCTACTATGTAGGTTTCATGGGGTTTAGAAATTCATTCCTCTAGTTGTTATCCCACCAGAACCGGGACTGAAGTTGCTTAACGATATTCTTATCCAGCTGGAAGGCCTTGGCAAGAACGTCGGGATTGATTGCCGGGTCTGAGCCGAACACTGCATTTGCAATGGTGATAACACCTGGGTTTTGGCTACTGAGACCAGCAAAGGCAACTGCATTGGTGTGCCCTATGTTGAACTGGAAGTGGATGAGGCCGACCGGGAACACGAAGACATCTCCGGGGTACAGGACTTTTGTGAAGAGACGGTTCTCCGGGTTGGATGTAACGAAGCCGACGTAAAGAGTGCCCTCCACGACGACTAGAATTTCGGTGGCACGAGGGTGGGTGTGAGGAGGGTTTAGGCCTCCATAAGGTGCATAGTCGATTCGAACGAGAGAAATGCCGAGAGTGTTGAGCCCTGGTATTTGTTGAACATTGGCTGGAGTGACCATGGATCCTACTGGGTTTGATGTATTTCCTGGAATGTTAAGCCCTTGAAGGAAGAAGTCTTCTGGGACAGCAAGCTTTGGGTCCTTGCACAACTTGCCATTAACAAAAACTGCAGAAATGCAAAAATAAAAATGTATTAATACTTCACTAGTTTCGACACTTCAACGTGATCCGTCGAGACGAATATAATGCAAAGATGAAGATTCAAAGGAAACAAAGCATTAAAGAACACACCGCCATCTTTAGCATCATTAACTGCTACACAGAAATCCTGAAGAGGGCTGGGATCTGATGCTGAGGCAAGTTTGGAAGCCAAAGCCAACAGGACAAATGCTACAAGGAATCCAACACCTTTCATTGTTGTAAGCAGCAGTCTTGAATTTGATTCAATTCTTCTAAGATTTGTTGCTTTATGAGGGGTGAGAAATCTGGTTTGAGAGCATGCCAATTTATAGATTGCAGGAACTGAACTGGTCCATTATCATTTTTTAATAATTCTATTTTTTTTTTTAAAAAAGGAAAATAGTTAAGAAACGGATGAAAGATTTACCAAGTCCGTAGTGATTACATGTTTTTAAAGAAATCTAAATGAATCATTCTTCAACTACTCTATGCCTTGATCCTCATCGAGTTTCAGTCTTCCAATGCATACATATTTTGCAATGGAACCGGTCGTTTTTACACACCAAATGCCTTCTTTGTCTATTTAACTAATCTATCGACTTTAAGGGAAAAAACCCAAAAAAAAATAACATCCAATTGATTAGCCTCTTGCAATGTTTAAACACACTGCCAAAGTCAACGTTCGAATGGATCAAGTTGTATAAGCCGTTGATGAACAATTCTTATATGAGAAATTAAAAATGAGAGTGTAGACCACAACATGAAAGTTTCATAAATATAATTACTACAAAATAAAATGATTTAACAAATATATTCAGACAAATCAAGTTTCACCTAGATTCAACGGTTCTCATCTCATCTCTAAAAATTTTAATAAAAACCCACTCTAATATCTAATATAAAAAATACACTGATCAAGTTAGGTTAGGACTCATAACGATTAGGAAAATGATGTTAAGATTGTAGTTAACATGTAAGCATTAGAACTTTCAAGAACGATGAGTGCGCTGAAATTGAGTTAACGATCGATGAGATATTGCAGAGAATGAGGAAGAAACTTGAGGTAAATTTGGGAGGAAAAAAGATTCATATATGCATATCATTAAGGAATGATAACTATACATTATATACAACCATAATTAGCTAACTCTAGTTAGTCACTTACAACTGATTTATGTAGACTAACTAACTAACTAACTCGTAAGACTCCAACTCATTTCCAACTTGGCTACAAGATAATCATGCTACTTGTTTGTCAAAACATCTGCTTGCTGATCGTCGGACGAGGCATGATGTGTCTGAACAACTCCTGTTTTTTTAATCTTCACTTACACAAAGTCACAATCAATTTCAATATGCTTCATTCGTTCATTAAACATTGGATTAACAGCGGTTTGTAATGATGCTTGATTATCACTAAACAAAACTCCTGGTGCATCATGTTTTATGCCTAGCTCTTCAATCAACCCTTCAATCAGACATTTTTGCCACAATCACTTTCTTTCTCCGCTTCTGCAGACGAACCATACATCGTATTTTATTTCTTCAATTCCCAACATATCAACGAGTCACGCAACTTAACACAATAACATGTAACTGATTTCCCTGCATAGGACTAGGGGAAAATCAATTTTTTTTTAATTTTGAGTTATTCAAGTCGATTTATTCGAGTTATTCAAGTCAAATCGAATTATTAATTTAGTTTTCGAGTTCTAGTCGAGTAGAAATTTTTAAATTTCAAGTTACTCGAAAACTAAAAAGTTGATTATATATTTTGATAATTTTACGCTTTAGTCCATGATTTCATTATTCCTTCAATTCATCGTTCATTTCAAGTCTATTTTTAACCAAATTTGAACCACATGCTCCTAATTCATCATAGAACGCATATGTACTTTCAATTCCTCCTTTCGATAACAAGTTTTATATTTTCAATTTAGTCCATCAATGCTTCATAATTTCCTTATTTCTTCAATCCATCATTTATTTTAAGTCCGTTTTTACCAAATTTAAACCACACACTCCTAAACTATCGTAGAATACATATGTACTTCCAATTCCCCTTTTCGATAACAAGTGTTCTATTTTCAATTTAGTCCCTCAATTTTTCATAATTTTCTTATTTCTTCAATTCACCATTTATTTTAAGTCTGTTGTTTTATCAAATTTGAACCATATGCTCTTAAACCATCATAGAATACATATGTACTTTCAATTCCTCTTTTCGATAACAAGTTTTCTACTTTCAGTTTAGTTCCTCAATTTTTCATAATTTCCTTTTTTTTTCTTCAATTCATCATTTATTTTAAGTCTGTTTTCACCAAATTTGAATCACATGCTCATATACCACTATAGAATACCTATGTAACTTCAATTCTTATATTTTGTTTTACTAAAAATGTACTATCTTTTTATTTAGACCCTCAACATTGCATTTTACTAATTTGGTCTTTTGACTGCAATTGTTTGCAAATTCTTTCTTCCCATCAATTCATTAATTATTTTATACTCTCGTCAATATTTCACCCTCAAAATAAAGAAAATATAATATTGTGAATATATTTTGTAATTTTAGATTGCATTTGATATATTAAAAAACATTATAACGTGAAAAGAATATATATATATATATATATATATATATAGTTAGTGAAAGTCGGAAAATTGGAATCAATCCTTACCATAGAATAACTCGACTCGAATAGAGATTATGTCTTAACCTTTAGGCTAATGCGAGTGATAATTATTTTGGAGAGATGAAATCCTTTTTAGATCTCAGTAACTTTTAGGGCTTATGTTGTAGAGACAGTTTTGTAGGGATGTTGGAAGTGTGTTTTGTAATATACCGGGTTTTGGTATCTATACCGGGTTTTGGGATACATATGATATCATGTTTTTGTACTCTTTGTGTTCTATACGTTTATAGTGGATTGTTATGCATCTTATCTATGGAAGCTTCAGTATCCTCACCTCTTCTACCCAGGTAAATTTAGAGGATGAAATTTTATTTAAGAGGGAAGAGTTGCAACGCCTCGAATCACGGGTTAGAAGTATTGGGCTAACCCGAGATGGGCCTTGGTTTAAATCTCTAGCCTGTAGGAAGTCTTGACCCAAATTAAAGAAGATTTGGGCTTGAGGTAATCCTAATAGTGAATAAAAAGGGTGTTTTTAATCTGCAATCATAATTGGAGGGACCAAGGAAACAATTATACCCTTGTTAAAATGTTAGGATGAAATCCTTAATTGTTTGGTGATACCATGTCTAATACACCCTATTTTTCTCAACTCTCATTTGTCTATTCTACCTCTTCTTCCTCTTCATCTTCGTAGCTTTTTCTTCCTCTACAAGAACCAAGTAAAGGTAGAAAGTTAGTAGTCTTGCAACCCTAGTTTAGCAACCTAAAGTTAAGAATCATGATTCATATATCCCATGCATTGTATCAAGCTCTCAAGAAACCCATTTCACAATAGTTACAAGAAACATGTTTAGAAGGGTTTTAGAAACTAGATGGTTTCAACCCATTTTTCATATATTTCTAGCCTTAGGAAGTGTTTTAAAACCCTCCTTAATCCCTAGCAACAATTAGGAGCTAAATTTGGGATGAGCCTTTGACGTTTCAAGAAGTATAGAATCAAAGGTTACTCACTCTTGACTCAACTATACCATATGTAAGTCATTTAGATAAAATGTACTAGGTTGCATGAGCTTGAAGCATTCTCATGGCAGATTTCATGTTTTAGAGTTATAAACATGTTTAAAGCCCTATTTATGCTCATTTGTATCTTTATAAAACAAAAATAATGTTTGGGGACCTCACCAAGGTCTTTGGGATAGTAGAATAGGAGTTTTTGCACCTATTTTATGCTCGCTATAGGTTGAGTTTCACCTAGATTCAACGATTCTCATCTCATCTCTAAAAATTTTAATAAAAACCCACTCTAATAACTAATATAAAAAATACCCTGATCAAGTTAGGTTAGGACTCATAACGATTAGGAAAATGATGTTAAGATTGTAGTTAACATGTAAGCAGTAGAATTTTCAAGAACGATGAGTACGCTGAAATTGAGTTAACGATCGATGAGATATTGTAGAGAATGAGGAAGAAACTTGAGGTAAATTTGGGAGGAAAAAGATTCATATATGCATATCATTAAGGAATGATAACTATACATTATATACAACCATAATTAGCTAACTCTAGTTAGTCACTTACAATTGATTTATGTAGACTAACTAACTAACTAACTAACTCGTAAGACTCCAACTCATTCCCAACTTGGCTACAAGATAATCATGCTACTTGTTTGTCAAAACATCTGCTTGCTGATCGCCGGACGAGGCATGATGTGTCTGAACAACTCCTGTATTTTTAATCTTCTCTTACACAAAGTCACAATCAATTTCAATATGCTTCATTCGTTCATTAAACATTGGATTAACATCGGTTTGTAATGATGCTTGATTATCACTAAACAAAACTCATGGTGCATCATGTTTTATGCCTAGCTCTTCAATCAACCCTTCAATCAGACATTTTTGCCACAATCACTTTCATACTCCACTTCTGCAGACAAACCATACATTGTATTTTATTTCTTCAATTCCCAACATATCAACGAGTCACGCAACTTAACACAGTAACATGCAACTGATTTCCCTATCATAGGACTAGGGGAAAATCAATTTTTTTTTTAATTTTGAGTTATTCAAGTCGATTTATTCAAGTTATTCAAGTCAAATCGAATTATTAATTTAGTTTTCGAGTTCTAGTCGAGTTGAAATTTCAAGTTACTCGAAAACTAAAAAGTTGATTATATATTTTGATAATTTTACGCTTTAGTCCATGATTTCATTATTCCTTCAATTCATCGTTCATTTCAAGTCTATTTTTAACCAAATTTGAACCATATGCTTCTAATTCATCGTAGAACGCATATGTACTTTCAATTCCTCTTTTCGATAACAAGTTTTCTATTTTCAATTTAGTCCATCAATGCTTCATAATTTCCTTATTTCTTCAATCCATCATTTATTTTAAGTACGTTTTTACCAAATTTAAACCACACACTCCTAAACTATCGTAGAATACATATGTACTTCCAATTCCCCTTTTCGATAACAAGTGTTCTATTTTCAATTTAGTCCCTCAATTTTTCATAATTTCCTTATTTCTTCAATTCACCATTTATTTTAAGTCTGTTGTTTTATCAAATTTAAACCATATGCTCTTAAACCATCATAGAATACATATGTACTTTCAATTCCTCTTTTCGATAACAAGTT